GCAACACAAAGTGGACTAATACAGCACCCTTGTATCTAATGAATTAACTTCTCTTTAAGGTTGTACCATCTAGAATGGTACAATGGGAGAACTGAACAAATTGTCACTTAAAACATTTTCTGTATTCTGTGGTTTCCATGAAGAACACTGATTGAGAAATACTGGAAGAAAATGAGAAAAGTTGCTCTCAGTCTTTTAACCTTTTCCCCAAAGCTTTGATTTGCAACCATGAAACTAAATTTATGCCACTCTTATGAATCTTCTTCACATTTGCCGCAACTTCATGTAACTGTGGATTCAAATTCAAGTCTAGTGATATTACAAGAAGATCTAGGGATGAGGAGCCTTAATTTTAATATGCACCTATGGTGATTGTTATTTTTAAATTTAGCCACCATGAAGCATTTTCAGTTTGTTAATCATAACAATCTTTTCTGAGGGACTATTTTCTTACTATTCACCAGTTTTATTATTCACTTTTATTTCAAGCCCTTCTTTTATGAAAAAGCAGCACTGAAATGGGACCTCATCTTCTGAAGAATTGCTTTCTCTTCTGCCTCTCTCTGCCTTTCAATCTTATTGCCACTGAAATGAAATGAGCCAGCTCTGTGTACATTATGTAAGTATTTCTGGAAAAGGCCAAAGGAATTAGTCCTTGTGTGTATGCATCTTGCCACATCAGCAGTGATCACCATATTTGGAGTGTAACCCTCTCAATCATAATGGTTGTGGGGATAAAGCCACATTTCTAGTGATTATGTTTGGGCCTATTACTTCAACACAAAATTAAAAGAACTGAGCTACTTCCCTTCTGATTGATATCCTAAACAAAACTTGGCATAATAAACTGTTTGCTCCCAATACTTTGTAATAGGTCGATTACCAATTGTGGGGCTCTCTTCAAGATATGAAACTTAGGCTTAAAGAACTCTAATTTCCAAAATTAGCTCTTTTCCTTACAAAAAATAAGCGATTGGCTTGTTATTGCATTCTCAGAAGCCTCTATACATTCACCTTAAAGGGTAAAAAGTAAACAATAAATGGAAAACTGACTTTACCAGACAATACACCCTTTAATATTATTAACAAAATGTATCTTTTTATTTCCACCTGAGAAATGCTGTATCTCATTCTCTAAATCCTACAAATTGGTTTGTTTTAAATATACTTTATTTATTGTAGAAGCCTTTCATATACAATTTTTATGGAAAAAGGAAATAGTTTCTCAGTATGAAAGATATGCAGCACAATAATTTACAGAGCAGCAGTAATTTGCTAAATGATTTCCTAGTGAAATGAAAACATGACTATGCCTCCTCAAATGTTTCCTACCAGGCTTGCAATAATTTCAGGCAGGTGATCAGCTGGAGCCCCTCAACTGTAACTATAAAAAGAAAAGGCAGGACATTATGTTGTACTATGGAGATGAAAGCTATATAGCATTTAATTTTTGTATTTGGAGGGTAAAGATTTTCCTCTTATTTTTTTTCATCTTGACACTAATGACAGGGATTGGCACAAACCTAGATCTTGTGCTCTGGGTGTTTTCCTGCAGAGAGGATGAATTCATACTAATGCGCCCACATTTTCTTTCTAAGTCATTTAGTCCCTTCATGTGGCCATAAAAGAGTAAAGCTAACTGGCCTACCCAGAAATTGAAACCATAACCTTCGTTAGTTTTGTCCCATGGTCCAATCATTTGAGCTAACCAGGAAAGTAACACATTAGAATAAGAAACAGTTTGCCTCCAAAATTACAGATTTCCCAAAGGATATCTGAGTATATCTTTTTGTACCAACATGTTTCTGGTACTATGCTAACTTTAAAAGTATACATAATTTATGTATTCTATTATCAAAATTATATAAAAACATATACACATATGCATGTAATTCACAAATAGAAAGTGTTGAAATTTTAGATTTCTCCTATATTTCTTAGATCATCTGTAATGTTTTTTTAAATGGAAAAATTAAGATAGCAAAATTTTTCAATAAAGCCCCAATGGTTTGCAAAGTATATTCATTTTAAAATCTGAGTATATAGAAGAATTATTAAATAATTTGAAAAGGGTTTCTCTTATTGCTGCCAGCTAACCACAGGTGTAACAGGAACTCCAGAAAGCAGTATAGTTCTGTACTCTATGTAATGAAAATAAAATAATCATGTTAACAAAAAATTATTTAGAAAATATTTTATCATGGGGAACTAATTTGAATATTAAAATATTTTGTTTCCTATCAAAATTGTTGCCAAATTGTATTAAGCCCATGGATCAGCATTTTAAGATACTCATCAATGTTGAAAAAAAGTGGCATGGTGATTAAAACAGAAGACAGCAAATATAATTATTCATAAAATTATTATTCATAAAATAATTATATTGGAGTTGTGACAATTAAATATAGGCAATCTCAATTATACTAAAATTGAAGAAAGCTTTAAGGAAAGAAAACTAGATCCTTATTCTGGGAAAAAGTTCTCATACTCT